AGAGTCTCTTCTGACATCCATTTTGGTCTTTTCTTCCTCTTCTGTCTTTGTAATGACCGTTTGCACTCTTCCTGGATGATTTCCATACTAACAACAGGATCAATGAAAGTTCTGTGGACTGCATCTCCCAGACTAGTTATCTGTCCTAGTTATAGCCAGAGAAACATGGTCTTTCCCAACTCACTGAAGTACACTTTTTAACATATCCTGTGCTTGACAATTCTTAGCCCTTGAAATACAAGGTATATGATCCACCGGTGCTTTGATTTACTGTTTTTGTATGTTTGATTTCAGGAGAAGCTCACCCAAGAAATGACATCTTTAAGGAGAAAGATTCAAGAAAATGAGAGGACTCTCAGTGAGGAAAGCAAGAAGAAGGAGAGATGGATGGTGAGCATGAGATAGTCTTTTCTGCAATCAGCTTTAGGCAGATATACAGGAACCTGGCTACTATGAATAAGCAACCCATGGGTATTGGCAGAGCATGCAGTGAATTGAGGATTAGTTTTATCGCTGTCGTTGTTGTTGTTATGTGCCATTGAATCTCCTGTGACTCATAGTGACCCTATGTACAATAGCCCTAAACCCTGCTCTATCCTGTGACAATCTTATTGTATGTGACATACTTACCACCATTACCATAGTCACTGAATTAATCCATCTCATCGAAGGTCTTCCTTCCTGTGCTCCTCCTCCACCCTCACAAGAATAATGTCCCTCTCCAAGAACTGGTCCCTCCTTGCAACATGTCCAAAGTATATCAGACAAAGCTTCAGAATCCTTACCACCAAGGAGCAACCTGGTGTCACCCTCTCCAGAACAATCCTGTGTGTTCTCCTAGCAATCCATGGTATATTAAATACTTTTCTCCAGCTCCACTGCTCAAAGGCATCAATTTTTATTCTATCATCCAAGAATTTCTACTCCTGAAATGTCAAAACAAAATCAAAACCTGGAACCTTAAGTACTAAGTAAAAAAAAAATACCATCCATAAGCACAAATAATATTGATCAGATATCCAGTTTGAGGATTTGAATTTAAGAATTTTAGAAATACTTTTCTCTTGTGACTTTCACTATTGGGAGAATGGGTATGTTCCTTGCAATGAGTGAATGTAATAAAAATCAATTTTAATGTATATTTTCTATTTTAAGTAATTCATCATATTTACAAAATGCAGGAAAATACACACAGTACCTCAAAGTACTAAGAAAATACTGATGAAATATTGTGAAGTACTGATGAAATACTGGCTGAGACTGCTCAAAAAAATAATTGTGAGAATGGTACAGGAGCAGGAACTGTTGCTTTCTAGGACATAGAGGGTCTAGGGTTGTTATTGGACCTCATACAATGGAACTCAACAAAAACATCATTTAAAAAGAAATTCGAGTTCATTTCTACAGAAGTTTTAGGATCTAAGAGTTGAATTAAATTGGTTTCAAGAAAAGGTGATATCCTGATATAATAGCAATTGCACAACTAGATGTTGTTCACAAACTAAAATGTATTTTCTCACAGTTCAGTAGAGTAGATGTCCAAATATAGAGTACTGACTGAGGGTGAGACTCTCTCTCAAGGAACATTCTTTTTTCTCTAGGTTATTTTTCTGATTTTCTTTGAATATCTCCATATGTCTGTTTAAATCTATCTCTTCTGGTCTCTTGCTTAAGGGCTTTTACATATGAACACAGATACACTTTATTAATACTGCCTCATTGTTAAAATATACCACTTAATCCTAAAAGAGATTATAAGTACAGGGCTAGTGGAATGGACACATCACACATGTTTGAGTAAAAATTATACCATCCATGTTGTTGTTACATGCAGTCAGGATGCCTGCAACTCATAGCAACCCTACGAATAACAGCCTTAAACCTGCTCTATCCTGTGCCAATCTCACTGTCTCAGACACACCTACCCTGATGACCCCAGTCACTGAATCAATTCACCTCATAGAGCGTCTTCCTCTCTTGAGCTGTCCCTCCACTCTCCCAAGCATGAAGTCATTCTCCAGGACTGGTCCCTCCTTGTAACATATCCAAAGTATGTCAGACACAGCTTCAAAATCCTTACTTCCAAGGAGCAGCCTGGTGTAACCTTCTGTTGGATGAAATGCTTGCTGCAGAGGGTCCAAGACTGCCTCCTTCAGTATGGATTGAGACTCAATGTCAAGAAGACCAAGATTCTCACCACTGGACCAATTGGCAGCATCAGGATGGATGGTGAAGAGATTGAGATTGCTAAGAACTTTAGTCGGCTTGGCTCTATGGTCAACACTCTTGGCACCAATAGACAGGAAATTAAAAAACATGGCGAAGTGAAAGTCTCCTGTTAGGGACCTCTTTAAAGCACTGAAGGGCAATGGTGCCACTCTGGAGACGAAGGTGCATCTGATACAGTCTATGGTCTTTGCAATCACTTGCTATGCATGAGAGAGTTGGAAAATGACTAGGGAGGATCGAAGGACAATTGATGCCTTTGAGCTGTGATGCTGGAGAAGAGTATTGAATATTCCATGGACTGCCAAGGAAACAAACAGATTGATCTTGGAGAAGGTTAAACCAGGCTGCTTCTTGGAGGCAAGGATTCTGGGGCTTTGTCTGACATACTTTGGACATGCTGTAAGGAGGGGAGGTCCTTGGAGAGGGACATCATGCTTGCGAGGGTGGAGGGACGGCGCAAGAGGGAAGACCCTCTATGACGTAGACTGATTCAGTGCCTGGGGTAATCGGGATGGGTTTGTCATGGGCCGTGCCATTGGCACAGGATAGAATCTACCTCCAAACCTGATGCCACACGTCTCCCTATAGAGCCCAGCCTCCCCAAAAAATCTGTTCCGCATATTAGATTGAAAAGATATGGAGATAGGACATATCCTTGGCATACACTTTCCCCAATTTTGAACCAGGCAGGTAATATCACATACAAGCAATATTCTTCTGAAAGTTATCCAAAAATGCTTGGAACAATATGTCAACAGAGAACTGCCAAAAGTACAGGCTGCATTTAGAAGAGGTCCTGGTACTAGGGATATTAGAGCTAAAGTTAGATGGATCTTGGCAGAAAGCAAAGAATACCTGAAGAATGTCTATCTGTGCTTCATTGATTATGCAAAGGCTTTTGACCGTGTGGATCACAACAAACTGAGGCTGACTCTGAGAAGAATGGGAATCCCAGAACATTTGATTGTGCTACTAATGTGAAAGCTATACTTGGACCAAGAGGCAGTCATCAGAACAGAACAAGGAGACACTACATGGTTCAAGACCAAGAAGGGGATCTATCAGGGATGTATTCTGTCTCCATACCTTTTCATTTTGTATGCAGAACCGATCATCTGAGATGCTGGGCTGTACGAAGAGGAATGTGGCATCAGGATTGGTGAAGAGTCATCAACAACCTGCGTTATGCAGATGACACAACCCTACCTGCTGAAACTGAGGAGGACCTGAAGCGCTTGCTGCAGAAGGCCAAGGACTGCAGCCTCCTATATGGATTGAAGCTCAACATCAAGAAAACAAAGATCCTCACACTGGGCCAATTGGCAGCATCAGTATGGATGGTGAAGAGATTGAGATAGTTAACAGTTTTAGTTTACTTGGCTCCACAATCA